GCGGTCGCGCCACCCAATTCCGCGGATAATCGGGAGTGTACTGTATCATTATAGGCTCCGGTTTCTGATATAAATACATTCGTAACAGCTTTCTTGAGATACTATTATCTTGTTTGAAGTTAGAAATGTCGTTAGTAGTGTCTTTCTAAAATTTCTGAAGCAGTCTGTTGTGTTACACTTTTAAATACTTATCATCCACTTGTTTTGACAACTTTTAGTTCAATATGCCACTGATCAGTAATGTTACAGAATGGATGATCACTGCTTTTGATAAGTATTGGTATCCTTCAGTTTAGTCATAATTTTTTAATTTCTCTAAATTTATATTATTGTTCATACACTGGGGGCCTATGGATTGATTTCCAGTAACCATCGACATTTCTTTTTCTTGTCATCATAGGTTCTGGTCTCTGATGTAATCACATTTTTAATAACTTTCTCGTTGCATCTCGTTCTTCTTTTAATTTAAAAATCTAATTACATTTTTGCACCACCATTCATTCACTAGTGGGTTACCAGTATGGGGCATTAAACATCAAAATAGAATTCACTGATGATCAGCAGCCTTTATAAGCACCAGTTTGCTTCTATTTAATTTTAATTTTAAAATATATATAAATGTACTTAACACTGTTCACTGGTAATTAATAGATCACCAGAGTGAGGAAGTTACTGTGTGGTGATATATGGGTGACCCCAGATAACTATTGACCTATAAGTCAGAGGTGAACCAATGGATTTAATGGGCATGAGTTTAATAATAATTTACAAATCTATTTAATATATTTTCTCAAAAATAAGACGCCCTTTTTGATACATTTTATTTCAAAATTTGGTAGGATCTTGCAAATGGGTATTTTAATAAATGAAATTGCAAAAGGCATGGAGTTTAATTACCATACAATACAGAATAACTACGCTACTTAAATATTAAATAAATCTTACAGATAAATTACTGCACATATAAACTGCATAACTACAGCCACATTTATGTTAGTTTAGGCCTGCATACATTATACTGGTAACTGCTATGCTTGAAAACAAATAGATAGTTATGTGCCAGAATCTTTTCCTAATTTTCCTTTTTCTAATTTTCTTTTTTTCCCCCTAATTTATCATAGTAAAATGTTGTATTTAGTTAGATAAATTAGCTTTCATTCTAATCAGAACCAAGTTCTCATCAGGTATTTACTGACATTTTTAGTTATTAAAAGGTTACTCCAAAAGTGTTAGAAAGGTCTTGTATTTCACTAACTACTATTAACTGTTACTGTAAGTGAAAATAATGATCAGTGTGTGTTGCAGTCACCTTATAAAATATTTTCTTCCTCCTTTCTGCATGCCTTTGTGGTTTAACGGTAGTCCCAGTCAGGATATTGCACATTTGTCTGTGCTCCTGCTTCAAAAATAACTAATATCTCTACAACCTGTGCTTTCATATGATGTACCTAAATTATATAATTTTAAATGCATATAATTTACAGTGTATCTAATTGGTAATGCATTTTTCTAATGTTAATATGTTTGTAACTTTTTACTTCTGTTACAAGTATAACCTATTTGTTAATTAATTGTGCTTCTTTCAGGACAGCATTGTCGCAATGCAAGCTTTAATCGAGCACGCCATCCAGTCTCGAGTGCGGGACGTAATTGACGTCACCGTAACGATAGAAGTTCCTTCTGTTCCTGGATTTATTAAGCAAATACATATTGGTGATGAAAATTTGTCTAAACAGCAGCAGTTTGAGGTATCATTTGTAACTGAATGCAAATATTCCATAATTAGATGTCTATTATTTGAAACTGTTTGGGTGATGAGGGATATTTCATGACTGATAATTTTTGTAATATATATTGTCAGCTCCTGGATAACTGGAGAAAAGATTTCTAATTAGTTCAGAATTACAGGTAATCTGAGGAAAATTAAAAATTAGTAACAGTTCAGATTTTAGGAACCGCCCAAAAGTTTAATATTGTTTTCTCATAGAGATTATCGCTAGACGTGGGACAAGTGGAAGAGCGAAACATTTCACAGGATTTAGACTAATACGGGAACATTATATATCTTGTGTTTAAAAAGTGTAAAATATGTAATATAATCCTGTAAATGCATTGAATGTTTCTAATTAGATATATTATGAATTAAATGACTTTCTGTTTAAATGAATCTGATTAAAAAGTAAAAAAAAAAAATTAAGAACTTCATCTGTTGCTTCAATCCAGTTAAGTGAAAAAATATGTTTGAAAAGTGAAAAAATATGAAATGTAATTCCATAAAAATATTTAATGTTTTTTAATTCGATACATCATGAATTAAATACATTTTTATTTAACTGAATCTGATCCAAATGTAAATATATATATATATATATTATTCTTAAGAACTTCATCTATTGCTTTTAAATAGTTTAATTTGTTCATCAATAAGAAAACATTAAATTTGAAAGAAAAATTACATTTTGATGATGAATGGCATCTGACTCAAATAAAAAGTGAAACAACGTCAAATCGCATTTTGAGATGAATAACCAATATTATAATCAACAGAAAAATGCTATTAATTGTTTAATAATATTTTCGAGCAATTTAATCTGAAAAATAATTTTATTTAGCTATAGGAATTAAATCATCTTTAAAAGTGAAAAAAAAAGTTATAAATGGTGTTAAAGAGAGAGGAGAACAGGATCGAGTTCAAATTCACACAAAAATTGCCAATTAGAATAATTTTGCTTCTTGAAATGTTCATTTGGCAGACATCATCTGTTATCACTGCTTTTAGCTCTTGCTGTTTCTTTTTCCTTTCTGTATTTTCCATAGGCAGTTTTTTTTTTTTATGCAGATGGTTTGTGATAGGGATTTTTCTAGCACTCCGCAATAATCAAAATAATTTTTTTTAAGATGGCGCTGAATAATCCATAACCCTAATTCTTTTATTTTAACTTTTTAGGCTCGGTAATTATTAATTCTTAAATTAAGAAATTATTTTATCAAAGTTTTATTTTTAAAATTTTTTCTCGAATTTAAATAGTAAAATTCTTTTATTTTAAAATTTTCTCACTTATTTGTTTACACTGTTTAAATGAATTTCGTTTTTATTCTACTTGATGTATCTAAATATGATTTTTGATTTTGTGTTTAATTAGGATTTTAATTTATTACTACTAAATTGCAACAGCTTTCAGTGTGTGATTTATCTACTGTTTTATTAAAATTGATTGTTTATTATTTTTATTTTGTTATATATGTATGTATGTATATGTAAGATAAAAAATATGTGAAGCAAAATTTTAACTTTAATTTGCAATAATCCCTTATGTTTTCATTTTAATTTGGATATTTCTTCTTTCCATCCAAAAAATAGTAACTGCCTATAATACATCTCTCTAAACTGTGTTATTTTGATATTAATCACTGTCACGTTATTCTTACAAAATGCTGGTGATGACCTAAAGACTTTAGCCAGTAATAATTTTAGAAACTTATTATTAACCTGTAGGAAAATTGTGGACTGAAACTGAAAACTCACTGAGCCCAACTTTCATACTGGATATGCCGCATTTGTGTTTCTCTTGCTCATCTAGCCTGCTGTTTCATACCATTCTTACCTGGCCTGTGAAATTAATCAAAGCTCTGAAGATCAATACTGACTACAGAAAAAACCATAACTTGAATCAAAGAGCACAGCAGCAACTTTGGCAACGATATCGCCGACAATCTGGCAAAAACAGCAGCTCTTTCCCAAGAAGGCGAGTTCTTCAAGTCAAGCTTCCGAAATTGCAACTACGCGAAATTCTAAACAAGCATCTAAGCCACGAGTAGCAAGAAGAATGGAATAATGCTACAAAAGGCCAACTCGCATCAATTCTTCTCAAATGTCAGCACAGAAAGAAGCTTCAAGTCCTTCCTAAATTATTACCTCACTGTTCCTGGCCCATATCCATATATTTTCTCAAAAGGAACCTCTGTAATAGCGACAATTGCGTCTGTGGAGTCAAAGGAGAGGCAGACCATTACCTATTCTTTTGCCTTTTTACAAGTGACCTACACATACGGAAACCCGCCAGTCTAGATCTTAACTTTAAAAGACTGGGGATATCTCAACACCAGCTATAAAAAAATCAAAAATCATTGAAGTACACCAAAAGCTTAGTGCTCTAGGACTCGACCTATGCCAAGTCACACCTTAGGACTGAAAATGAAAAAAGCGGAAAGAGCAATGCCTAGGATACATCCCAATAATTGACTCCGAGCAACGTTAACAATTTCCATAATGCTTCGAAACATCGGAGGTGTTAAAATATTGGATTATCTAACTTACTGAGCTGAGACCATGAACTTTATTTATGAATTTTTTTACTTTTGGACTGAAAGATCTGAGCTCTGTACAGCCTTACCTGTAACAAATATCCTCACATAACAAGAATCAGACTCCCAGTATATTAACAAAATCCCAAATGTTTATCTACTTACATAAAAATGCAAAATTTCCAGTGCAGCGATCTCCAAAATATCAACTCTTCTGCATTTACGTAATCCGATATTTTAATGAGTATACTAAACAGTTTATATTATTTATGTAACTTTGCCTAATTTTATCTTACAATCGTCTTATGTTTAAATATAACACCTCCGATGCATAACTCCAGTATTACTTATAAATAGCATATAGTCAGTTCGAGTTTTTCATACTCTAGCTGGTTAGTGTAATGGGGTAATTCCTTTTTTTTTTTTTTTTTTTTGAAGAATTGTTTGTTTTAAAATGCATACTCTTCTTGTCCGTTTTTTCCGGTTTATGTTTAGTGTATATTATTATGTTTCTATAATTTCTACTTCCTCTTATATTAATAAAAATCTTTATGTATTTTAGTATGCAGTTATTTTTAATTTACAGATATCCAATGCATGGGGCGTTGTGTTGGTACGAGCACAAGGATCCGGCATTGCTCTAGTTCAGCTCTCTGTACAGTATAACGTGGACTGGCCTCATTTGCAAACTCCACCACCTGTCAAAGCTTTCGATCTCAAAGTCAGAGGTTACTATTTTGGACGGAATAGTTCCCATATTGAAATAAGCTCCTGTCAGAGGTCTGAATTTTAATATGGATGTGCTTTCTACAATTATAATAGGAAATAATCAGAAGTAGAATTAATATTTTAATGCATTGATTTTATTTTTAAATTTTGAAAGTTTTAAATTTTAAAATAAATTAGGCACTTTAAGGTGTCATGAAACTTTGAATCTAACTTTTTGTTCCCCCCCCCCTATGTTTAGAAAATGTGGTATATTATAATAGTTTTTTATTTGATAATCTATGGAAGACGCAGAAGTGTTAAATGTAGTGTACGATGTAAATATGAACCAGCTGCCAGTCTCCTTTAGAAAGTCCTTCTTAAAGCAAATCTCACCTTTGGTATATAGACCATGCATGCTTGCTTGACTTGCCGAATCTGATCCACCAAAAATGAAATTATTTGATATAGGAAATAAAATTTTAAAAATGCGCTATACTTAATAGAGGATTCTTTAATTGTTAAAACAAATGAAAAAAAGTGTCTTGGAAAGTATTTGTAAGAATTTAAAATGCATTAAATTTTATTATTAAATTTAATGTAGAATTATTTATTTTATTTTGTTATTCATTTACACAATTATCATTTATCATTGAGAAATTATAAGTGTAATTAAAAATTAGTCTTCTTATAGCTCCAAAAAAGTGTTTCCTCCGGTAATTTGTTAATGCGTACGTTTTGAATCTTGCATAAATTGTATATATTTATATATTATTTTATGCAAGATTCAAAGAATGTGCACAACTCTTAATGTAAAATCCCTGTATGAATTTTTTGCGGTCATGAAAAAAACCTATTTTATCACTCTGCATCTGATCCTTTAGTAATTTATTCATGCACACATTTTTAAATCCTGTACTGTTTTATGAAACTTTGAAAAAATGTGCACAACTCGTAATATGAAATCTCTCTAAGGAAATCATTTTTTAGTTTTCTGGTTAACAAACCAGTATCTATCACTCTGTCTTTGATATGTGTTTCCATCAGTAATTTGTTAATGTGCACATTTTGAATCCTTAATGACAAGACTTAAAATGTGCGCACAGCCTCTAATGTTAATTTTGTGCGTGTGTGATGTTAACAAAATCTTCTTTATCGCTCTCCTTCTGATGTTTCTTTTAGTAATTTATTAGTAAATGTTCTGAATTTTAATACTTATTTATTTTCTCATCTCTTCATTCAGGTGGACTCTTTTAGAAGAAAGTCCAAGAAGTGGTATGGCAGTATTAGAAGTTAATATTCCGACTGGATATGTAGTTCAACAGCAGACTCTAGATTCTTACGTACAATCACGAAAAGTTCGAAACCTCAGAGAAGCTCGCTATGATGAAAGAAGAGTTTCATTTTATTTCAATTATGTGAGTAGTTCTCTTTTTTATTTAAAAATTTGCTTATATTGAAGGTAAACAGGATTTAGCTAAAGTTTGTTTGAACTGAAGTTTGAAATAGAAAAACTCGGAGTATTTGAACAGACTTCTTCTGTGTTAATATTTAGATACTTAGTAATATAGATACTACTAATTTTAGCATAAAAATTGTCACAACATAGGCGTAAATAATAGGTGGATTTGATTTTATTGTTGGATTGATATTGTTGCTTGTTATAGCTTCATAGATCTCTTTTTTTCTGTGGCTGTACCTGGGCTATCTTCACAACTCCAACACCAGTCAACATAGAAATGAAAGATGTTCAACATTATGCGTCAAACAGATACATAAAAACCTGAAATGAAACTGCAAATTCAGAATTAAATAAGCAATAAATAACTGTGAAATCATCTTATGGGTGCACAAAACGCTTCAAAAATAAATATAAATACGTAACACAAAAAAATATATAAAAATTGAATTACAATCACATGAACCCTAATATTTAGATATATATTATTTATCTTACAATAATATTCTTTCATAATAAATATTCTTTCAATAATAGTCTTACAATAACAATTCTTACAATAATATTATTGTAAGAGTAATATTCTTACAATAATATTCTTTATTTGTAAGTTTTTTATACCTCAAATAATTATGATTATTAATGAAGAAAATTCAGATGCTAATTTTTGTATGTATTGTAATTTTTAATAAATAACATACATCTTTTTACACTCCATAAATTAAGGATAATGCAAAATCAGGCAAAGGAAGAGTTCGAAGCAAAACAAATTTGACTTATTTGTAAAGCTTATTTATTAAACAAAAGGTAAAGAGCAAAAAAGATTATTATTTTGATTTATTAAAAAAATTAGCGACTTTTTCTCCCTGGAGTAAATTACAAAAAAAAAAACCTATTTACAAAAAACCAATATTACATGGTTGGTATGTTTGTTAATACATTGTATGTCTCCCAGACGATGCAATACAGTCCGTACAACGCCTAGGCATGCTGAATATCAAATTAACGATCTGATCTTAGGGGATATTACACCACTCAAAAAGCAATGCTCTCCGAAGTTTCGGTAGACATGTAGGAGGAGGTTCACGGGCTGCAAATCGTCGGCCAAGCATGTCCCACACGTGCTCTACTAGATTTAAATCCGGTGAGAATGCTGGACACTTCATACGGGTGATATCCTCCGATTGAAGGCATTCACTTACGAGGCGTTGTCATCCATAAACACAAATTGTGCGCTCATGGCGCCCCGAAACAAACGTACATGTTGTTCCAGAATGACGTCCCAATAGATTTGGCTTGTCATGGTTCCAGTTTGAACATGCAGGTCAGTTCTGGAACCCAGAATAATTCCACCCCAAACGAGCACTCCTGCACCACCGTAACGGTGTCGTTCAATGATGTTTTCTTGGTGGTAACGGGTACCTGGAGCTCTCCATATGAAAGTCCGGCGAGAATCAGACTGCAAGCTAAACCTGGACTCGTCGGAAAACATCACACAAGCCCACTGTTGTGGTGTCCACAATGCATGCTCTCTACTCCAGGCTAACCGCAGGCGACAGTGAGTTGCAGTAAGTGGAACGCATCTGACAGGTCTACGAGCATATAGACTAATCTGCCCTAAACGTCTGTACGCGGTCTGCCTTGAAATTGTCGTACCAGTGGCGGAAGAGAGCTGACGAGACAGGTCTGAGGCTGTGCTCCGTCTGTTTCTTTTGGCAGTAACTGCCGAATACCGGTCCTAATTCCGCGTTGTAACTCTGGGGCGACCTGTGCTGTAACGTCTACTCACATTACCATCACCTTGGAATCGTTGCCAAAGCCTGGAGATGACACTCTGGGCAATTCCAAGTTCGTCTGATACTTCCAGTTGGGCACGCCCACATTCCAGACGGCCGATAATTTTACCACGTAAAAAATCATCCAAATGCGTCCTTTGTGTCTTAACTATTCGGTTATTGCACTGAAATGCTTATAAAGCGCCCGCGAACAATTTTACTTCTTTGCCTGTATTCCTTATCTATCACTCTCTTACACTCTCGTCATTATGATGTACCATCGGTGTGATCTGATTACTTCCTGAAATTTGCATATGATTCTTGAAGATGTGTGTAGTGATGTGTGTTGTGATTGGGTGATATATTTATTTTAGAGTTCGATTTCCGCGTGACTCCGAATTATCCTTAATTTATGGACATGAGTGTATTAAACTCTATATACAACTCGATTTTCATACTTTTTGGTTCTGTTATATGAGCTGAATAAGTGAATACAGCCCATGCTAGCATCACTGGAGCATTTTGACCAACGAATTCAAAACTTTTATGCAAATTCTTTGCAGTGAATTTCACCCTATAAAGCAGGGGTGGCCAAAGTGCGGCTCGCGAGCCTGATATGGCTCTCGCAGGCAATTTGTGCGGCTCATGCATATAAAATATACGTATGAAATATCTTAAACTAAAACTATTCAGTGTCCAAAAGGAAGTAATTAATTAGTTTAGATTCTTTTTAAAAAGTTATCAGGGATTTCTTTCTATTTAAAACCTCTTCCACTACTTCTATAATGATGTAAATATGAACTTGTGGCTTTTAGAAATTCTAGATGCGGCTCTCGAAAATTCCTGAATTCAAACGTGCGGCTCTTACTGGCATGAAGTTTGGCCAGCCCTGCTGTAAAACATTCTGTCATCAAAATAATGAACACTAAGACAAATTCACAGAGAAAGAGCGGAATTCGTATTGAAATCAATCGAGATAATCTTCCTCCATGATTTTCATGAGAATCTAATTAACAGACAAACTTGGCAATCTTGTTCAAATCACAGGAAACCTGTTAAAGGAAAGCGTTTTCAAGATAATTGTATATTGTCACTTGCAATGAAATTATTATAATTTCTAAAGCAAACAATCAAAAATAAATAAAATGAATAATAAAAAAGCATAAAATCTTCTCGCAAAATGCGCAAATAAATTAATCTGTACTATTAAATAAGGAAGAATCTCTATGTAGGTTTATTTGATTGTTTGTTTATTCCTTGCACTGTGGAAAAAAGGTAGCTCCTATAGCCACCCAATTTTGAATTCATATAGACCTCTATACAAATCTCAAAGCTCAGATTTTGAATTTATTAGTCCAAAGGGCTGTTAGCTTAGAAGAGCTATTAGCCTCAAAACGGCATTTTGCTTCTAATTACTATTAACGGTTGTATCACTTTTTAAATTGTTGCCACCAAATATTATCCCCTCTTGAATTTTAAATTTGTTTTATTATCTATTTCATATTTTTAAAATTTAACGAATTTTCTATTAAAAAAGTCAACGATTTCAAAGTGACAGCTGTAATACGGAATAAAATATTTTTCATTCCAGCGTGTGAGACTGTGCATCAAAAATTCTAGATATGCAGTTTTTAAATATTTTTAGCCCAATGCTCTTAAAAAGTGTTATGTGCGTGTAAATAAAAAAAAACGCCCCTTTGGGCGTAATATAAAATCCGAACGCTTTCAGATTTTTGGTTTTATCAACTCAGCAATTTAAAAGGATATGTTGCTCCTGCTCGAAATAAAACATTTTTATCTTTAACATACTGGGGTATTGTCATTCCGCAAATGATAAGACTTTTGTCTTTTAAATTTAATCAACACACACTGCTACACTGCCCTCCAAATGTTTAGGAACAGCATGTTTTTTGTGTGTAGTTTGAGAATGAAATAGCATAGAAAGAAGAAATTTAGAGGACATGTTCCCTGAACAGTTCTTTAATGAATGCGACATAGAATGTTTCTGAAATTCAACACAAACATGAATCACAACAAAAAATTCCAGTCTTGGGAATCTGTATATCATAGTTTTTTTAGGAAAAATGGGGTGGTAACATTACAAAAATGGGTTCAAATAAGGAATGTGTGTACCCTTAGCTACAATACGTTAGCGGCAGCGACGTTCCATACTGTCAGTTAAGTTATCAGTCAATGAAATGGGAAGTAAGAACCAGACACGGAGTAATCATTGTTCAAGCTCATCTAACGATCTTGGAGGAGGTCTTAAAGCAGCAACTTGTCTCCCAAGGTAGTCCCAAAGGTGCTCTGTCGGATTCAGGTCTGGGGATTGAGCTGGCCATTCCATCCACTGCAGAATCCTCGGATTTAAGCTGATTCCATAGTCGTTGGATCACACTACGAGAGACATTGAGACGCCTAGCAGTATCATCTTGTGACATCCCCATTTCCATCCATTCGATCGGTGTCCGCCGATAACATCGCGGCAAAAACATCGTGGACGAAAACGTCGCGGAGAAAACAACGCAAGGTGAAAACGTCGTGCTACAAAAGATCGTGGGAGAAAACATCGCAAAAAGAAAACATCGCAGTTCTAAAACATCGTGGTACAAAACATCGTCGTAGAAAATAAAGCGGTTCAAAAACATCGCAGTTTAAAAACATCGTCGTCGAAAATATCGTGGTAAAAAATAAAGTATCTACAAATCATCGCATGCCGATAACATCGCAGACATGCTTTTTTTCAGGTTTTAATAATTGTAAATGGATATTCCATAATGATTTGTGAGCGCAAGGTGTAAAGAATTATAAATTTTACTTTCACATTTTATTAACTAATAATTTTTTGCTGAAAACGTAAGAAGGAAACTTAAGCATAGAAAATTAAATGTAACTTTTAGATTATATTTTTTCATGAAATATTACCAGTAAAAACTTTATAAAAATGATTTATTAATGGCCTTTGTTAGTTTAACTATGTCGGTTTTTAAAATTCTATTAAGTGCTATAAGTTGCATTAATTTTTTATGCTTAAGTTTCCTTTTTATTTTCTCAGCAAAAATTTATTAATTAATAAAAAATATGAAAGTAAAAATTATCCTTCTTTCCATCTTGCGCTCACAAATCATTATGGGAATATCCATTTACACTTATTAAAGCATGCCTGAAAAAAGCATGTCTGCGATGTTATCGTCATGCGATGATTTGTAGATACTTTATTTTTTACCACGATATTTTCGACGGACGATGTTTTTTAAACTGCGAATGTCTTTGAACCGCTTATGTTGTCGACGACGATATTTCTGTACTGCGATGTTTTAGAACTGCGATGTTTTCTCTTTGCGGTGTTTTCTCCCACATGTTTTGTAGCACGACGTTTTCGCCTTGCGTTGTTTTCGCCGCGACATTTTCGTCTGCGATGTTTTTGCCGCGATGTTTTCGATCCATTCGATCACCCCCCCACCTCAACCATTCGATCACCCCCCCCCCACCTCAACGAATTGGGCAAATGACTTTTCCTGGACATTGATAGATTATCCTGGATATTGTCCACGAAACTGTAATAATGACTGAAGATGAACACTCGTGAACAAAAATTACAACTTTCGCATTTTTTTTCCCTCCCAACTCCTATATAAGTATTCATTTCTATGAAATAAAAGTGGTAGCTATTGTTCTTGCATGAATTCTCTTAAACTTTGTTACTGTCATGCATATGAACTGTGAGTTTAAACGTAACTTACATTGTATTTAAATGCAATATGTTGCCACTGCCGGAAGTAAAATACATTTATCTTCCACGCACCAGTGTGTTGCCAATCAACAAAGCATAAGATATTGGGTTTTCAAGTTTTGGCAGTTTGCTGTTGATTAACAAGCTAATTTAATTGATTTAAAAGCAAAATTCCTTATGGTATATAATTCCATACAGTCGTCGTCTTTTTTTTTTTTTTTTTTTTTTTTGGTGTGTATGTGAGTGTGAAAAGCAAATATTTCTTCTAGGTGTCGTATTGCAATCTGAAGATTTTAAATACAGTTTTCTTTCCTAGCTAAAAAGATGCTAATAATTTGTAGCGAAATTCTTCCCTATTCATTATGTTAAGTATGCCATTCTATCTTAGATCTTATATTAATATTATCATTGAGCTCCTCTCTTGATCTTTTCAAATAATCTTTGAGAAAGATTCGACAGGTTTCTTTGCGGTGATGGAAGAATGACAGAATTTTGCTGCAGAAAGTGTTTTTAATTTCTAATGGCATGTTACAAGACAACTGAACATCAAATAAAATACAAAACAAAGACGAGAAATTGACATCAGTATATCTATAAACTTAGGGCATTTCTCGCCACCCAATAGCGCTCCTAAATCAAAATACGAGAAAGGGCAGGGCATTGCGGAGATTCAGCCATTTTTACGAATAATCTGCATTATGATGAAGCAATTTGTTTTAAACTTTTAAATTTTAATGATCGTTCATTTTCTGTGAGGCTTCAATACCATTTCGTGTGCTTAGCTTGGCAATAGCGTCATATATTGTACTCTCTTTTTGCACAGCTATTGCGCCACTGCATATTAAACATAAAATTTTTCATTTAATTCTATGACAAAATAATTGGCATTTCATTCTGTTCTAAAAGCATGGTATTCAAAGCCTATTTTTCTCTTATTATTTGATTTTGAGATTGACATGGTAACCGTAGGTTGTGAATAAAATAAAATAAAAAGAGCAAAATATCACAGATTACCTTGAGAGACGATACTATGCGCATCTCTATAGCAAAATTGTCAACATGGCCATACTTCTCACAATGCACTAATATTCACCTGTTGGAAGTGCTTTTAAAAACAACGACAAACGAGAGAATATGACAGTAACATTACTCATGGTCATTATAGTTTTACTGTAGTTTGCCGACCCCTATCTTATATTGTTATTAAGCAATAAAGATCGGATACTAATTTCTTTATCATGTTTTTAATTTTTTTGTAAATCACATACATCTTTTATTAGGGAAATATATCGATCATTGTTGTATGTTGTCATTTGTAATGAGATTATTTTAATTTCTAAACCAGAGGTATCTTTTTATAGCTGGACCAAGACTTAACGTGCCTATCATTCACTATTCAGAGATGGTATCCAGTGGCTAATATGTCCAGATGGTTGCCAGTTCGTGTGTATGATTATTATGCTCCAGGTATGTATTAAAAATTAATGTATTTTAAATTATGTATTGGTTTGGCAATAGTATATGTACAATTAAAAATTATGTATTGATTTGCGATAATAATTTTTCAATAGTATATGTACAATTAAAAAATTACGTATTGATTTGCGATAATAATTTTTCCGTTATTCCTCAACAAACGAACTTCTCTCTTTTTTTCCCTGTGAAAGGTGCTATTTGTCTCGAAAGTTGCTTTTTTGCCTTATCATTTTTATGCCTGAATCACTTTTCAAATTATTCCCACAAAGTGTTATTGCCATGTATTATCTTAAAAAAAAATAAAAAATTGGAAGATCTGTATGTATATATGTATGTTCTTTGCACTTTGGGAGGAGAGGGGGGGGAATTGACGACACCTAAGAGCCACCGAATTTTTAATAATACATGTAGTCCTCCAACCGAACTTGGGCACCTCGAATTTGTTTTTGATTTATTTTATACTTTGTACAAACTTAATGAATTTTTATTTAACAAACTCTGCGATTTGAAAGCGAGAAGTGGCAACACTGTTTAAAATTAAATATTTTTAACCCCCCGGCATAGTGCACTATTGGCAAAATGCATGATCGTTATCTTTCAATTTTAGTCTACAAATTCCGTTATTTGAAAGCAGTGTGTTGTCATTGCCTCAAATAGAACACTTATTATCTTATGCACTTATACTTTTTCCATGCTGAGTAGAGTGCATCAAATTTTAATATAATGATGCAAATCTAATAATTTGTATATTTTTTCCAGAACGTTTCAACGAAACCATGTTTGACGTGTACAACTTATTTGTGCTGAGTATCTGTGAAGTATGTGGATCCTACCAGTGCCCGTACTGCCCCGTCTTCAGCTGGAGTTGTGGGATTTCTTCCAATCCTCTTCTTTTATTTGTGACTTGCCTAATTGCCACGTACAGCATTTTCACTAGAAATCTCACTGTATAGCATGAACTGAATGCTTCTATTCAGAGAATTAAACAATGAGTGAAGAACTCGATGAATGTTTTGTATGTAATGAATTGACTTAAAAGAACATCTCTCTTATGTGCTAGAATGGCATATCGAAAGTCATAGTATAAAACTGTGATAAGTTCTTTTTTAAAGTTATCCGCGAATCACACAGAGGAAATCTCTAGATTCATCGAAATCTGAGCATCGAGTCCATAATTATGAAGTCATATGTTTTATTGGAGTGCATGTGTGCAAAAATTATCATTTCTATTTGTATAAATGTTTCATATCACATGGAAAAATGTAGGAGAATATCCTAGAACATTTTTTACTTTTGTTATGAATCTCTCCTTTTTATTATTATTATTATTATTATTATTATCTTCTTTTTTGTTATAAAATGTGTGAAACTTGTAAAATGATTGTTGTAAATAGTTTTTGGAATCCTTTTTTTAGACATTTCTGAAGATATATTTAGTATAATGATCTTATTTTCTTGGTATTTGTTAAATAGTATTTCTCTTATTTATAGATGTTTTTCTTTTTTATTATAAATTTTAAAATAGGCATAAAATTTATCTGTTAAAGTGTTTCTATTGTCTTCATTCATCAGTGTATTGAATAAAGAAAACAGGCTGGCCGAACATAAATTGGCTATGTGTCTAAAAGGTGAAACAGCTTCATGGAGAAATTTCTAAGGGAAACTGGCTGGAATATACATAGAGAAGAAACATAAAACTTGTTTTCAAGAGCCAGTTTCCCTCAGAAATCGGAAAGTAAAGCCGAGGTAGATAAACTATTGGAGGACCTTTTTTATAATGTTGCCCTATATTAAAAGGTGCCCAAAACCTTATCCAAGTCAGAAGCTGTGTGGAAAGAACCTTGCTAAGTGTGCTCATGACCATTATGGAAGTAGAACGCTGAAGGTACAGAAACTTTCGTAACAGTGCATAAAGGTGTTGCATCTGCATAACTTGGAAAAATGTTTACCTTTACAAGTGTGCTAGCACCTTTATGCTGGGCACCCTTGTGCATGGCTGATTCAAATATTAAGCAGAGGATGAAATAAACCTTTAGCACCTTTATTGTGAACAAGAACTTTGCATATAAAGGTGTGCACATTTTATAAAAATTGGCCTAAAGCTACTTTTACCTTTGTGCAAGTACCATAAACTGACAGTAAAGTGATTTTTGCAAAAAGATGCCAAAGATTTATTTCAACCCCTTCTTAATTAATCTGCAATGAAGATGAAAATCAGACTTTCACTTAGATCGACGTGCCTGCATTCTTATGAAGGTTTATTACATATATATATATATAATTCTAATTATATTATTTATTTTTTATTTTATTCTTAGATTATATACCGGTGTAATTTGTTCACTTTCAGTGTGTTAAAGCATGCCTCAGAGCTGTTAACGCTCCCTTTTTTATCGGTAGACTCACAATTTTTCATCTCATTTTCCGGTAGATCTCCAAATCTCTCGGTTTTTTTAATTTTTAGCCTTTAGTAAGGAAGATGTTTCCCAGCAATACGTGAAATTTATTGAATTAATGAAACTTAAATTAATTTCCCCACCAGTTATTTTGCAGTATTTTGGTGACTGAATTGACGAATTTGGAGTACATATAAATTTATTTGTGAAAGAGTATGTCCAACTCGGTGGGATTTTTCCAAAATATGAACATGCCAAAAAACTGCATATGTTCCCTTATTGCAGTTATATTCTTCACCTACTGATTTGTAACAGAATAAAAAATATAGGAGTAAAAATCCCAAAATATTCAATATAAATGAGTTCAGCAGGTACACCGAAGGTAAATAATTGAACACTGAAGGTTTTTCGGTACTTTTCCTTTAGCCGAACGCCAAATGTCACCAATTGAAATACAAACACTTTCAATAAATAAAAAAAGAAGTAATTCTCATTCATTTCATTTAAAATATAAAAAAGGAAGCAATCGTTTTAATGAAATTTATGCCAACATCCAAAATATTTAATTTAAACATCAAAGCAGAGTCTGTAACACACAGGCAGAAATATTTTTTTTTTTTTAAAGGTACCTTTTTCATTTTAGTTTTAGGTCCAAAAACGTTTGTTATCATTTAGAACTTTCTGAAACACATCGTCTGTTTCTTTTTTGCACAGGAATTCAGCCACGTAAACTTTTATGTGATGGCATACTATTTCTTATTGTCTGTTCCTATGCCATTTACCACTTCTCCACAACGGCTTGAAAATATAGTTCGACTTATTCTTATGTTGTAGACAAGTCTATTTTTGTCCTCATTTAAACGAAGTGGAATTATGATAACTCTATCGATTTTTAGAAATGCACGCTCATAATGACGCACAGGAAATCATTGCAGTTTCAATGATGGCGACGGAAACATTTCTGGCGATATATGGTTTGCGCTCGGATAAAAGTAAAGTACCTGTTTTTCTTTTTAGGTTTTTCATAGAAATAATTTAGTTTCTGTTTTTTAATGTGTTTAGAATGAATCTTATTTTTTTTTTTCTTTGTTGATCATTTAAAAATAATAATGAAAGTTATATGTTCATTTGCGTAATAAAAAAGCGTTTCTTAATTGTATCCGTTTCCATCGATGCAGTGATATTCTTCATGGATGGAAACGGAATGTTATTTGTGAAATTTTATGATTGCTTCATGCATATTTATGTTTAAATTATCATGATCTAGTTTTTATAATAATACTGGAATAAAATGTATTCAAACTCATTTATAACCAACACTATTGGATCGGATGAATTAAATTATAAATTCTTGATCGGTTAAATTTGCTTGGTAACAATAAAAAGTTAAAATGAATATGGATTTTTCTTGTTGCAGCTTTTGTCATTTTACACTCATGCTCGTGATGATTTGATTCTAAATGCAATATTACAAAAAAAATGGTTTGATTGTAAATGGAATATTATTTTACATTCTATCACGGGTTCTCAACCATCCCCCTTTGCGGCGTTAATGCGGTCTGCCTTTTATATATCTGTTAAGTATTTAGTCTTAGTTTATGAATATAAAAAAACTACTTTTATTAAAATGTTGCTCTTTCATCAACATTTTATACACTTTTTGTTGTTTAATTTATAAAACACGTCAAAAAGTTATCTAAATCTCTCTGTCTCTCGCTCTCTATATATTTTGAGTTTTAGAAAGGAGAGAGAAGGATTATCTTCCAGCAGTGGTAAAAGGGTGCATAGGAGGCTTGGTTGAGAACCCCTGTTTTATCATAATTAAGGTTACGTACTTATGTTAAGTTATGTTTACCTTTCGTTGCAGAAACCAAACCAAACTGTAATAAAAAATTGATACATTTCTTGATCTATGATTATTTTTTATGAAAATGTTTTGTATATTTATGGCAGCTGTAAATATTAAGGCTTTAAAATTTTTAGCAACTCTAAATAAACTTGTTTTGAACAAAGCTTTGTATTAGATAATCTTTTTTTTTTTTTTTTTTTTTTTTTTTTTTGTTGTTGTTGTTGTTTGTGTGTGTGTGGGAAGTGTTTCTGAAATTAAAGGAAACTGAATTTCGTCACCAAAGCCACATAATAATTACTCCAGATTCTGCATTTAGAAGTACAGTTACGCCGCTTAATGTGACCACGTTTGTTCACGGCTATTTTGATATTTAGAGGATGAGAAATATTATCTCTCAAAGCAGCGACGAAATTTAACACATTTATTATAAACATATAAATAAGTACTTTCACAGAATTTTAGTTAGAAAAATACAAAAGTCCGTTTATGAGTTTTTCATTAGTTTCGCGAAGACCCTTTTCAGAAAAAAAAAATTTTTTTTTTTTCTTCTGAACAGGAGGGACCTGTGTTCGATCGCCTTCAGAATCGATAGAATTATTCAAAATTTGCTTCAAGGTAGATGCGTTTTTGCCTAATTTTAAGGCAGCATTTCTCTGTCGCTTGGCAGTTTTTATAATCTATTTTGAACTTACGTGGATACTCTAGGTGACCTGAGTATTCTTTAATATTTTGATCATATTAGCCGAACTGTTGATCACAATAAGCGGTGTATTTTCTATGCTTTCGTATACAAGAGGGTGGGCCTTTGGCTATTCGATAATAATATTCGAATGGTGACATTACCCGAAATCACATTAAGAAGCGTCTACTGTGTTTGGTTTACTTCATTTATAAATCCATATTGCGACCATTACTTTGTTATGCTTGCCCTGTATGGGCGTACTCTAATAGTAACGGTAGAAAAAGATTGCAAACTGCTTAAAATAGCACACTGAGACAAATTACAAATGCACAATGGTACATTAGAAATCAACGAAGAACTAGAACTTAGATCCCATTACTACAAACTTGCCAAGAAATTTCATGCCAAACTCCCTCCCTTCCATGATATGTTTCCACTTTTATCCTACAGTTATAGATATGAAGTTCATTAAAAGTCTGTTTGGATTGCTCATTCTCTTTAGGGTTACCGATAAGAGAGGAAAATTAATTCTTTCTCCTTCGTTTCGTTGTGATATTTGTTGTACTTTTTCAGTCTCATAATTTTTTCGATTACGTAGTCTATTTCAGTGCTTATTTCTAAACCACGTACAACCGTCCTTTGTCTTCCGCAAAGGTAAAATTGTTGAATTCAATGTATAGTTTAACAGTAAATTTTCTTATACTCAGTTATAGTCTTAAACAGTGTTCGTAGTCTTTCAGGTACCATTCTTCCTTCTTTCCACGATTCTCTTTTGTGTAAAAGCTCTTTTGTGTGTGGATATTAAGAATCAAGCGAAGCAGCAAAATTTTTACCCATTTAAGAATAGTATATCCCATACATTTAAACACCTAGAAAACACATTTTTTAAGAAAATTTATTAAATCTCAGTCAGAATTTTAATATTGAATCATTTCATTTTAAAAGATAGGCTTAATAGATTTTATATCGAGAAGCTCGCTCATAAACAGTAACACAGCAAATGCATTGGGATTAAGAAAGGGGAATAAATTAATTTGTCAATTTAGTGAAATTTACACAATATCATACATGTTCATCGATTTCCAGATAGGTTCATTTATTTTTATATACAAACAAACATTACAACGCTACATTTATTTCTATACAATGTTTTAAATTCATCATTCAAAAACACTTCCAAATTCATAATTGTCTTTTTCGTACAATAGATACTCGGTGGATCGCGCAGGAATTAATTTCACGTTTCAAAATCTTTGATTCCAAATAAATTTTTATGTAAATAACTGTATACGTTTTCTCACCATTGTTTCTTGAAATTGAAATCTTGTTGATAGTAACTAACGTTCCAGTAGCCTAATTTTCCATTCGGAGTGCTTGCAAAGAAAACTAAATTTTTTTAACTTGCTATGCCTTCAATTTCGACTACACTGATCTAGCAATAAAATTGTTAGTAACATTTCATTTCAGATATAGTTGGGAATTTAATCATAGTTTTGACGTTGGGTCTGCAAAAATTATCCAAAATGCTTCTTCCATTGATGAATTAGGTTTTCTTGAAGCTTTTCACATTCACAAAGATTCAGCTTGTTTACTTAATGAATAAAATCTAATCCAGTCTTTCCTAACGCTTTTAAACGCTTTAAAATTCTATTAACTTATATTTCAATTTTCATTACTAATTTTCCCGACGCATTATCTTCCTGTTCGCTTTACTGCAGTAAGATATAAATAGAACCGCTAAACCCGCTGTTTTCCAGTCTTTCGAATTTCTGTGCCCCATCATGAAGATAGAGATGTTTGCCTTCGAAATCGATTGAGATTTTTGTCTAAATCTACGCCAAATACAAGGTTGTTTCTTTATTAATTTCAAGTTTCACTTTGGCGTGTTTCTCTGTCGATTTGGTCCAAAAATATTTTAAGTCACAAATAGTGTTTAAAAAAAAATTGTGGAAGTTTCAATCACGAAGTATCGATATAAAGTAATACGATTTGACGAAATCATGCTGTATTGTAAGGTACGCATGCCGTCCAACCCTGATAGTGGTTAGTGACTCTGACTACATACCGAAAGGCCCGAGTTCGAATCCCGGAGAAGGCGTGGAGGTCTGTAAATATACAGTGCCTTTGCGACATGGGGGCATTCCAAATATGCGGCGAGCCGAAAGTCCTCTTGAGAGGTAGGTGATAGGGAAAGAGGGGCAAGAGACCTCGGACCCGTCCCCTCGGAGTGCTCTGCCTCAAAATTGGGGCGGAACTGAGTTAAAGTTGGGCTGTTACCTATATTAGATCTGTAACAACAACAGGGTACGCATATTTTGAGACTTATATATTTTACTTATTTACACTATATTATTTATTTGAAATGCACAATATATAACTAGCTTGAGGATTACCTCGCATTCCCTCTTCTTCCTTCATTCAGATAAAAACGATAGATCGAGGTTCTGTCGTACTAGAGAAACAAAACCATTCATATAAAATTAAAATTCCAGTCTCAAATAGGATTTTAAATTATTTGCCAAACCTAGAAGTTCAATCCCTTCTGGCAACTGCGAATTTCGCTTCAGTGAGTTTCTCAGCGCACACCGTGAATAGTGTGCCAGGCTCCTCGGTTGAAGGATGGTATCGAAAATGACAAACTCCCTTTCTTGAAGCTTGTTACACATGTCTTCCACAGATATAGCGTCAACGTTCCTGAGCAGCAAAGTCCTCATCTCCTTGTACGAAATGAAGGTATCGGGAATAGATCTCCAGACGTAGCGCAAACTTTTTATATAGATAGTAAAGTGTGAAACTTTGAAAGTGCAGAAATGAGCAAACATTTCGAGAATGGCCTCCTCTCTTGGCGTCAAGTCACTCCATTCTGCATTTATAAAGTCCGGAGGCCTGTTGAAAGTAAAAACAGTTATCATAAAAAAAATGTATGATGATTTTAATGAATCTAAACAGCGTCATTTAATAAAATTATTTAACATTTCTAAGTAAACATCTCATGAATCATGTTACGATTTGAACAGAAACTTTTCTCTGCCTCGGAATGGCAACATTCAGAACTTGACTTTCGATTTGTTTTGATCAGCTCGATGCTGTTGATGAGATTTAGATTAGATCAATTTGTTTGGTATTTTCATAAATTTCTTTTAAAACTTGGTGAAATGTTGATTTAGACAGAAATATCACTGAAACACTACTCATAGAAATCTAGATGTGACATTTAGATTCATCGCAGAACTTAGATACGCAGCTCCATTCATCTGTTAGATTAGTGTACATTAGCCACACATATTTTTTGGTGCATCGGCCGGGAATCCGGGTAACATTCGTACATTTGGATTAGCACGTGGCAAGTGTGCGAAGACTGCCGAGGTATGATTAAGTTTTCTATTTTTAAAGTGAGATAATTATGGAAGATCCTATCGCTAAGCTGAAATCGAAACGTAAAATAATAAGGACCGCAGTGTCCAAGATACTAAAGAAAATTTAGATAGAATTAAGTAAAGATGACACTAATACAGATGTACTAGAAGAAAATTTAGACATATTAAACGAAAAATCAAAGACTCTGAGTAATTCTAGCACTCAAATTGAACTTGATTTGAAAATCGAAGCGGATGAATTTGAACTTCACCGTTACGGCTAATCTTTGGAATATGGTAACAGGTAGTTTGGCGACATTTTGGAGGCGATAAAGGTTACTACCTAGGATTTTGGGAATAATGTGAGAAGTACTCAGTTCCGATTACGCATTATTTTGTGTTGAGGCAAATGAGAGATCATGAGATGTGCCATGTGACGTTAATGGACGAATCACTGTTCTTTAATCAGAAAAGGGGGTAAATTAAAAAAAAATATCTGCTGTACAGCATTAGTTTCATTCTATGTTTCTGTGAAGACAGTGTTGTTTAATATTTGGATACCATGGCCCTATATAAAGTAAATCCGAAATTTTTATTGCGTTTATGTGTAATTGAAAAGAATTGCTTAATTGCGGATAAGTATGAATGTCCAACATGTGGGTATGAAATGAGATTGTGTGAAAGGAAGGATATTACAGATAAGTTTGAATGGCGGTGCAAGAAATCTGGTAAAAGGTGCTACTTTGGTAGACGGTTGCACGGATTTTGGCGATTTTTCTTTTGGCGAGTAATACGACTTATGGTAAACCCATTGCTGGATAAGTTATTTATGGTAACCGATACTTTGTTGTCATTTTATTAAAAAAATAATGCGTTCTATTATGCATAATTCCGTGTTTTAAATATTATTTATGGCTTCTAAATATTAAAAGTCAATTTAATTTTGCATTTTTATTTGAAATAAAAATTTTGTTGTTTATAATATATTATATAATTTTAAGTTGTGGATGATGTAATCAATGACGTCACCTTACTGAAAAAGTAATTGGTTTTATTAATATCTATAAATTAAATCTAATGTTTTAAAAACATTATTTATGGCTGTTAAATATTGAAATACAATTTA